TTCAGAAATTTCTCTTTTCAAAAAAGTTACTCTGTCACGAGTCCAAATATTGTGGAAGGATTCGAAGTCGGGACAGGGCAACTTTTAGAGATTTTAAAAGCGGCTACGTGAGTGATTTATCCAAATTACTCAACAATGACTAAAGCGAACCGACCAAATCAAAATCAGATATCAATCAATCTCAAAAGAAAGGGCTACTGCAAGTTATATGCATGAGAAAAACTAAACTGAAACGGCCGGAAAATTGGCGCACTAAAAGTCCAAAGTCGTCCTTCCCTTTCTCTTCAGACCATATTCTAGGAGATGCCTGAACCATACCCCACTCTCTGGGTGAGGGTGATCAATTGACCGCGAGCTAATCGACTACTTTTATCATCTCGGGTGCTAATATTTGTAGCAAGCTGACGAAAGAGGTGAAGTGAGGCGAGGTAGGCGATCCTAACTAATGAACCTGCCCAGCTCTCTCGAAGATCGGGTTTTCCCCTCAGTTTCGCTTCGATCATGAATTACCACTAACTAGTGAGTGCAACTACAGAAAACTGTAAATGATTTTCAACTCACAGCAGTAGTGGTGCAGTCACCATGCCCAGAACATTGCAATGCATGATTATTGGAGGGGCAAGTGATGGTTGTGGAAACCTGAAATAAGATTCTGTCAATGATAATAATATTAGAGATTGAAAATCAAAAAATCTCCGCAAATTAAGGAAAAATGGCTTAAAATGAGCAAAACAAAGGTGAAAAACTCACAGAGGACATTTCCACACAGGATCCAGCCACACATAACCGACCAGGGCCACAACTGGAACCATCTTTGACAAGTCCCACGTTTTCATCAGCGATTGACTTGCATTGCACCTGAACACAACACATCAACAGNCAGTAAAAATTGAAGTAAACCACGCATCGTGATAGAATGGGTTGGCAAGACAAGTCCGGGGTGCAGTAAGACCAGTGCAATGACGTTTCCCGGCAAGGAAATGAGTAAATGGAAGGAAGGACGAGAATATAGAGGAAAGAGTACGCAGGAAACATGACTCGCCTCTACCCGAGCCAAAAAATAACTCAAAGATAGAAAAATCTCGTCACCTGTTTGTCATCTTGCAAAAACTGGAACGTGAAAGCCCTCAGAGCGGACTGAGACGGTGTCGTGGCTCCATCCTGACATTGCAGTGTACCACATCGAATATGCTCCGGTTGGCAGGATCGGTAGGTACCCGTACCGTCAATTGTACCACAGTTAGCGTATTCATGACCCCGAGTGTTCTGTTTGAAACATTCCTGTTCAGCAACTCGGGCGCCTAAACTGATTGGAAACCAATTGCGATGAATTCTTCTGAGATGGTGATAGTAGTGGCAACAGAACTGATCAACTGAACAATACTTGAATTCGACTAAGTAATTGGAAGCACGTACCATCGCCCCAGATTTCTTGACACTGTTGGTGGGGATCACTGCAGTTTCCACGCCAGCATTGACCAGCTCGTCCACAAGCCGTTCCGTCCATGAGATGACCATCCGGAGGACAATCGCCAGACTTCCCATCACAAGTCTCAGCTACATCACATGGAGAACGAGCACTCCTACATATCTCGCCTGATCTTCGTAACTGTAAAATAAAAGTTTATTCGACCAGAAAAGTCTATGGCTTGACTCCCGCCAATCGTTGATGGGTCTGCTCACCTCACATCGATGACAACACTGATGATGAGCCGCACATTGAGCATGAGCTCTGAGAGTACATGTTAGTGGATCACAACATGGATCAGTGCATGTCTCACGACTTCCACAATCACATTCCTCCGATCCATCCACGACGCCATTACCACATTCCCGAAGCTGCGATGGCTAAATCATGCAGGTTCAGTGGGAATATTGGTACAACCCTGTTTCTGCTGAATAAAATATTTCGACGTTGATTGATCCCATATTCGCCTCCGCCAAGCTCTCAGATATGAGAGTAAGCATGAGTGTGAAGGCTGAGGGACCTTATTTACCTAGAACGCGATAGGTGAGTGCTGAAGTTCAGCGTAGCTCAGCACCTAGAAGCGCTGAACCACAGCTGCACTATCTGTAGGACCGAATCTTCCCTGCAGAGTTGAAAAATTGTTTGGATGCTCCTCTATGGGACAGGAATGAAACATTGAATGATAGGGACTATAGCCAGCCGTTATGCAGAAGCTGTATCTAATCAAATCTTTCTAGAATTTCAATCAAAGTCGTATGCAGTGCGCATCCCGAACAGGCCTACCGGTGCAGGAAACTTTTCGATAGAATGGTGACGAAAAAAATAGAACTCACTTGGAAGGGCTTATTCAGTAAGCACTGTACATGTCCAGATTGCCAAACACCATGCATTCGGGCAATGGAGCATTTGGAGAACTGCCAAGAAAACGGTGCACCAGGCATACTGTAACATACTACTTTTCTCGGAAAGTAACTAGTATAAGAGTCGCAACATTGATCTTACCCAGGCCTATCGGTCATAATGCAACGGTGTTTTGATGAATCGGTTTCACATTGACAAGATTGAGTGTCATGTTCGAGACCGAACAGATGCCCAAGGGATTCTGCCAACATCTGACCTGACCATTGAGCAGCGAATGCATCGATAGCCTACAAAATTGTACTTAATTGATAGCCAGTTTCTGAAACGTCTCTAAAAGGATGGAAGATGAAGTTCTGCCGAATCAATCTCATTTTTAAAGTGTCATCGTTCGCACATTTGAAACTATAGAGTAGTAACGTTCTGAATGCCTGAAGCCTTGGACTTGGGAGCCAACCCATGCACAAGTCAGTATTTTCCACCTACTACCCGTTTCTGGCAGCATTTAAGTGATCCGAAAATCCGAGAGAGATGACCAGAGTGCGTATAATGTGTACAAACCCGGTCTAATCCCGAACCATTATACTGTGGGGGCTCAAACTGGCATCATTCCATGTGTGGGAACTGTGCGATATGACCCTGACACTTTCAGGGATGGGGAAAAGGCACAGCAAAATATACTGCTGCTGCTTACGTTTCCTGTATCAGATGCAATGGCCAACAAGGCCGTTTAATGCCCTCCCATCGAAATTGGTAACTTGGTGTCAATGATCCTGGAAGATGAAAGCCGATTTATATATAATATCGATAAAATCTTTTAAAATCGGGGTGCTGCCTACCACAACCTGCTGAGTCTGAAAACATCTAGGGATACGCTTGGAGACCTCTCGTAGGTTTTCTCTCAATCTGAGCATCAGTACAATCGCAATACAAAGTTTCAGTGGTCAACTAGCTACCTCAAATTCGGGCCATATCTGCATTCAGTTGAAGCACCGATTCGTAAGTTAAATTAGATAGGCGGCAAGTCCCATAAAAGATGCCAAGTGAGCGTTTTTAGAAAAAAAAACGCTCAGATCTCCACATTTTCCCTCCAATAAATCATTCTGCCCAATCACTTCATACGTAACAGGGCCCAGGAACTTCCAAAAACCCCCATCCTCAAGATCGAGCCCCAATTTCCTGCTAAATCGAGATGTCATTGTGTGCGCGTATTCACAAATCCAGCCCAAGCGTTGTCGATTTAATGCCCCCGACAAATTCCTGTGGGACAAGAATTAATAGCAATAACATATGGCCCGAACACCCCAAATCCCATGCACTACGATGGCATTACGCATGGCGCCACAAATCCTTCGATGTCCAACCGCATTAAATGAGTCGACTAATGAGTCATCAGATTTCCTCAGCAAAACGAGACAGGCTGTGAATCTGAACGGCTTTTCAACCCATTAGCGGCAGCATAAGCAGCCATCAGGGACAGGTTCCGAATCTCCGGTACCCTTTCAAATTCTTCATTGACACGGTCAGTAGCGTTTTTACCCCTGATGTAAACATACTGGACCACAAAATCTTCTGATTCAGTATTTTTATAGCAAGGATAAAAATTTTATGGCTTCTAGCTTCCTTCATGCCTTTTAGCGCATCTCTAGTGCTGTTACAAATAAATAAGTAAACAAAACACCACTAGATAAGGAATAGGGCAATAGGAAAACATGGTAGAAACATGCAATCGGTATCATTAAAAATACAAGCAGAGAGATGAAGAATTCCTTTCACTTGGACCCAATAATCGCGATAATGCAAACCTCCTCCGAGATACCCGGATAGATACGGTATCCGGAAAGCACAAGCACGAGTTCGAGTCCCGTCCAAAACCGAAGTTTTGTCCATAAATCGACACGAAATTCATGTCATTTACTGTACCTCCACCCTTGACTTCATGTATCTCGGTACTAAACCAAAATACGAAAATGGATAGTAATTTAAAGGTGATAGATTGCCTCAGAATGGAACAGACTCACTCATTCTGATAGTGCCCCTATCCCTCTTCAAAACAACTCGCATCCACTACAATTCTATCTCCCTAGCCATTGGGTTTTTAATAGAGGAGAATGCACTTTTGAGTTAGAGTATCTAGCATACACCACGGAAATTTCATCTAATGCCATTTCTCGCGACCTCTCACCACTCAGTCAGTAGCTTACAGTAGGTTCCACAAAGACGATGGCATACCAAAATCCCGACTATATCCTACGACTCCTTCCGGAATCAGTCCATTCAGTGATTACTGACTGTCAGGGCTCCTTCGCTGTATTGGCTAACTTTACAGCCTTTAAGGTTGGCATACAACGTTGATTTCGCCTTCTCACTCCCGCCTTAATCCTACATTGCACAGTGGTGATGGGTGGTTTACTTGCTACCATGCAACATACTAGTGAAGGAGCACACAGTGGAGTATATAAATAGATATATAAATAAATAAATGAATAAATAAGTAAAGAGGGAGGCTTACGAGAAATATCGTCTTTTTTTGCAGAATTTTCTAGGAAAATGTGATAGTCTCGACGGGAATCGTATCCTTTTTCTTTGAAGCTAGAGGCCACTATCCAAGCAAATATGCTGACCACCGATGGAACCACACCAAACGTAGCCCTTGAGTTGTAAGCTAACTCAAGTGTGTCCTTGAACAGTGATAGAAATGACGCTTCGAAAAAAAAACAGTCATTTCTTCCACCATGACTATTCGGTTGGCCAAATTCGAGTTTCTCTTTTCCCACATCATTTTGAATTCTCCAAATCAGGTCTCAAGCTTGGAGATCCCTCAATATGCAAAGAATCTGTCATGCATTATGGTTGGATGTCAAAATGAAGCCATTTCAAACTCATGCTCCAATCAAATGCTGTTCGACACTTGTCTACTGAGGCATGCAAATTCATTGCATGCATTTACTCAACGAACCCTTTCCCACCCGTCAGCTCCCACCCGCATTGTCTGTCACATATGCAAATTGAAATCGACGA